GATGTAGATCACTGAGAAACCTGCACAGGGCAAGGGTAATAGCCATGAGCAGGGACCGTGCCCCAGCCCTGCCCAGGAGGTGAGCTACCCTGAGAACTGCATGCAGATCCAGTATAAGATTCTGCCATGTTAGCTGGAGCTGGTTAACTGTTTGTAATGTTACAACTCCTCTTTCAAATACCTTCTTCGGTCTGTTCAGGGTCAGATATGCTTGGATTCCAGCCTATGAATTTGGGTTTATTAGCAGGAAGAATGAACAGTAGTAGGGCAATAAACACAGCAGGAGCAGAATCAGTGATATACCTAAAGAAGAAAAGAGGATATAGCTTAGAAAATAAGACATCTTTCTCCTAGAAGATGGCTGCTTTTCAGCATTGCAGTCACAACTCTTTGTCACCCTGCTTGGGGCTTGCGCATTAGTAAAATGGGCAATTAGTTCATGACTGAGGTCTGTCAGACCTGCCACAACAAAAACACAGTAATAAAAGAAACTAGCGATAATACACATTAATAGCCCATCACAGATGACAACGGCTCCTGGGAGCAGGGTTCCTTCTCTGAGGTGAAGCCAAGATTCACCAGTTGTATCTCAAAGATGTATGTCCTGGTTTCACTGGGATAGAATCAATTTTCTATTCAGGAAAGCTGCATTTTTGAGAAGACGGCAGTGCCTGATCTGGTGGGAACAAAGTTGCTAAGACACTTAGTATGAACATGTGAATTCATGTAAGGTTGGAACAAATGGCCCTGCACTCAAAATGGAATGTAAGAGCAAGGGAACCTGATTCACTACCAGGAGGGTACAGGATAAAAAAAAGACTAAAAACTTACTTTTCTCCTTCTGGGAAGAGGCTGGTGGCCCAGCCTTTTACAAAGCCTGGATGTCTGGAAAACCACAGGAGAACCAGCAAAACAAACATTAGGAGGACATTGAATTCAGCATAAGAGATAGGGCCTAATTTCTTCATTTCTGCCTTCAGCACGTTGTATGCAGCCTTTTCTTTAGCAGTTCTCTCTGTTCCACAGCCCCAGCTTTTTTTAAAGCTTTAAGGAAAAGGGAGAAGAAATACTGTAAGCATTAATACACAAAGGATTTAACACACTTGCCACTGAAGCTGCCACTCCTAGGGACAGACACAGACTACAGCAGAGAGCCGTACAGGAACAAAGAAATTACAACAGTGTCAAAGTATTGCATGGGGACACACCAGTTCTCTCAGAAGAATGGGGTCTATGAATGGAGTTAAGTTTCTGTCCAGTTTGGAGCAACCTAGGATGAAAAACTCAGTTTGACACAACGGTAGCAAAACAGATACAAGAGCTCTCCTAGGGTTGAAATTTTCAGATGTGAAATTGAAGAATAAAAAGGCAATTCTGTCTGAACATTAAGAATGTATAAAGCTTTTGCCTTCGTGTAATTCCCATGAGCACAAAAGGTTTCCAGACCTCAGAGGTTGATGTGAAATGGAACTGATCTCTGCTACAAAATTAATAAATTGTCAGTGTATTTGTTTTATCCACATTTCTCAGTAAGCTGATCTGCACTATCTGATGGGCAGTTAATATTATGTAGTTAAATATTATGTAGTTAAAGACTCACTTTAGTCCCATGAAGGAGCACTGTAGCCAAAGCCATGCTAGTATCAACATCAGAATCATGTTTGGGAATGCAAACCCAAACCAGGAAGCAAAATTCACAACATCATTATTGTTGGGGTACAACCTGAGAAGACAAAATGCTTTCTGCATGAATGTCAAAACATTCAGTAATCTACTCGCTCTTTAATATGTGCTAGCGACAATTATACACGTAAATCTACGAAAACCATTACAAGTAATCACAGGCAACATCTGTAGCCTAACTGAAGTCAATAGGAAGGTAGCCTGGACTTCAGAGCAGAACTTAAATGATCCTTGTTTTTCCCTGTATTTTCCTTTAATGCATGTAGGAGCTCATGTTGATACTTTAGGTCTCAGTAAGAGAAGTGCTGCTGAAAGGTCTCCCACACATCCCGGGTACCTTTCACTTTCAACATGCCTGCTCATTTATCCCAAGACAGGATGTTTTTTTTCCTTCCCATTCATTCTAGTAACAGCAAGAACTGTCTTTCCTGAAACTATCAGCAGCACTTCTGCTCACTTCAATAGAAGACAAAGCTGCTAGTTGGCTTGAAACAATGAAGCCAGTGTTTTAAGAACAGCAATTTTTATTCTTCCCTGCGTTCACCAATAATGACTGGAGGAAAAATATCAATAGAGAATTTCCATCTGCGTGTCAAAACCAACAGGTAATGTGGCAGCTGAGGCAGAAGTACTCATAACAGAAGGAAGCAACGTGGAGGGACTGTTGTGAAGTCTGCAAAATTTCCACTGTAGATTAGGTTGATTTAAATAAATTCCCAAACTCAGTTTAGCAAAGAGAGTAATTTTGTGGGTAACTCCTTTCCTTTACAACTGTATCTGTACTGTTTCCACATCCACAGCATGGAGAAATAATATCATAGGAGTGGCTAAGCTATTTTCAGCTTTCTTCAGCATGCTTATGAGAAGAGTTAATCACACATTCTTCTGATGCTCTTCGCTGCAGTTTGTCTGCTGATGTGCAGCATTTCAGTTGAAAAAGAGGAGGTAGAAGAACCAGTATCTCATGATCAACCAGCTGTCTGCTGATTACCAGCAAGTATTTCCAGGTTTCTCAGGAGACCTATAATACCAGCACACAGCTGCCTCAAAAAGGCTGATGCAGAAAAATGAGGCCTATCACTTCATACACATTCCCAACTCTCAGCTCATCACCTGGTTATTACTTATACTTTGCAACTCAAACTGTCATCTAAGACTAGTCAGTTGGTCACGGAAACAGTAAGATAGTATAAGTAAAAGAAACAGCAAGAGTGACTTACTGATTCATCTGGCCTTTCAATACCATGTTTGGTCCTGTTCCAGTGAGTGTGGCAGTTCCTCCAATGCTGGCAGCATAGCATACACAAAGTGTCATTCCCTTACATATACGCTTCCTCATTTTCTTTTCCTCAGATCTGGGGTCATCGGGGACTTGTCCATTGCTTATGACTAGACAAAAAGAATGCAACTTGCCTCAGGTAAAGCTAGGGAGACAGGGAGTTCAGGACAGGGTCTGCAGGCTCAGTGCTTCCAGTTTGTGTATGCCATCTACTTCAATTAAAAAAACCCACAGATATGTCCCTAAAAACTTTACTCATATTCATGAGAAGCTGAAGAGAGAGGCCGACGATCTGGGTCTACATGATCCAAGGATGCAGTCTTCCATATTGGTGCCACGATTCCACAGCAGTAATTTCCTGTTTTGCACAAAGGCTTACCACCAGCCAGATGTTGTAACTGCTGGCACGATTCCAATGCCACAGTAAGAACCCAACTAGCTTTAACAGCGGTGAATACAGGCAATAAAAAACCCACCCAGAACCAGATTCTCACCTGGCACAACAGCTAAGATCAATATGCTACGTCAGTTTACACTGAGATTTTGCTGCTGTGTCCATTGTTCTCTGAGGTTAACAGTCTAATCTTGAAGTCTGACTGGACTAATGTAGCAGGACCATGAATTTATGGCATGCACAACAAACTCAACAATACCAAAGAGTATTTTTTGCTCACTTTTATTACTGTGAGTCAAAAGACACAAATTCCCTTTTCAATGTAGCTTTTAAAGTACTCCTCCTTCTTCTCCCCGCGTGCGGAGTAGAATCAACTCACTGCTGAGTAGGCTCTTACCATGTACTGAAGTGGGATCTGATGCATTCTTTTCCTCCAGCTCAATCACTGTACTTGTTTGCCCAGTTGCTTGTTCCATCATGGTCACATCGTACTCTGTGTTGTCCATTTGATCCAGGACAGCCTGGACAATGGGAACCATCATAGCAGTGGTGGCTGTGTTACTTATCCACATGGACAGGAAGGCAGTGACTACCATAAATCCCAGCATGAGGCTGAAGAGAGAGAAATACACAGAGGAGAAAGGAGGAGAGAAAACAGACGCTGTAAGGTTTTGTAGTCACTAGAGCAGTAGAGTAGAGCCCGGAGAGGGATGTGTGTAGCATCCAGTAACACAAAGCAGGGCCAGATTCCCTTCCAAGACAGCTCTGCCACCTTCACTGAAGAAATCCCAGAAAGCCATTTAGCTCCTTAATCTGCGCGTGATTAAGTCTGTCTTCATTTTGTCCACAGTGGCAAGCATCTAGAATTAGCCAAATGCTGGTTTTCACTACAGGACAAATAAACTGTTCCTGCTGCCAGACTTCACCTCTGGAAATTCTGCACAAGCACAGCTTTCTTGAAGGCTCCCTTCTCTGCTGACTGTTAAAACACCATCCCTAGGCCTCTGCTAAATTGACACAGGCAAGGAAGAAGTAATGTAATACTCTTACAGTGCAGGTTTCACCCCAAGAATCAGCAGGACCCTCAGTGCAATCCTTTTGTGAAGATTCCACTGTTCAACAGAAATTGCAACAATCAGCCCTCCGACAAAGAGCATGTTTGTGTCATTTAGGTACTGCAAGCACACCTGAAAGACAGAGAAGGTAGGTCAGGGCCCCACATGTTGCCTCTTGCCAGCTTCGCTTGTACAAACAGCCAGAGAGAGCTTTGGAGGGGACACAGTGGACTTGCTGGCACTGTGCTGTCTCCCCTGTCAGAAGTTTGTCCCGTGCATTCTGAAATCTCCCAGAGGATATGCCAGCACTGCTCTCTCATGGGATGGGCCATGAACACACAAGCTGTTGTGCACTAGCAGGATGCTCTCCAGCAGGATCCACACCCGGACACGGGCCTTCCCGTCTACCACCTTAACCCCCACACCCTTCGCGTTTTGGGCAAATGTGTATTTGTTCTGTATCTTCCCCTACAGGAACGCTGAACACTGCTCAACATGTTCAAAAACAGCACCACAGGGCTGAGGCACTTTTCTGTTGGATTTGTTTGCTAAATATTGATGGGGGATCAGAGCAATGGATATCCCTATATCAGGCCTGGACTGAGTAAGTTCCTTACGGATTTAGAGCTCTGGACTCCAAGCAGAGGGAAAAACACCACAGGCATGAGGGAGGTAACAGCCAGTGGGATCACTTCAGTGCACCAGTACACAGCCATGATGATGATGATATATGCACACTTGGCCTCCTGCAACATAATGGAAGACATATTTAAGCACAGAAAACTATTCTTAAAGATAAGAAACACATTGATAGCTCTTTATAAAGGGGCCAAACTCTCCATTGCCTGTAGCTTAACAAGCTATGCTGAAATAGGTAAGAGATGTGAGGATTTAAACTTGTACTTTTAAATCTTGTTCTGAAATCACTTGCATAAAAAGATCTTTTTGACCTAAATCGTTTGTTCTAATGCCCTCACACAAAATGTAGGGTGTGAGAAAAACAAACCTTCCACAACTAAATAAGTACAAAGTTTGCAGTGTGCAGTTACCTCTTGGCGGTTGAGGTAAGCAAATTTCACATCTAGGAGCCAAGATTTTTAATAGTGTTTGTAGATCTGGACATTTCTATTTTGAGTTAATTATTTTTAAATGGATGGCCAAATTTCCCAGTGTGGATGATTAGCTTGACTGAAATTCACAGGTCTAAGAAGTGTGTCCAGGAACACACCTGGGTCCAAAAACTGTACCGCTGAATAGTTCAAAAGTTCTTAACTTTTACAAGTAACAAAGTAAAACTCTTTTACCTTTTTTTATTTTTTCGTGACTAAGCACGATAGAAATACTTAAATACATTCCCAAAGCACTCTGTGCTCACCTAGTAAGGGGATTCACTAGATTAGAAAAGCTGTAACATGACTTTTTATACTTTTTATACTGTTGATCAGGCATTTCTGTAACCTGCTCCTCCTTGGTTTGTACTTCCAAAATTGTCAGGAGAAGCAAGCATTCATTAGCCAACAGTAAACAGTGTTTTAAAGCTTAAGTCTGTTCTGTAGTTCAGAATTTGCTCATATATAGAGTATTTGTTTAAAGGATTTTATTCTAACACAACAAACAGGACTTTATTGCAAAAATACATGGTGTTACAGTGACATTTAAAAATTGCTGTAAGGTGATATTTATAAACAGGGGTGTGTTTTCCTTCATTTTGTTGATGTCGAGAAGCTTAAGAACCAGAAAACAGGCTTTGTAAGTAATTTGATTTTTTTTCTTCAGGTTTCCAGGAAATTAATTACACCACAAGTTTTGAAAAAAAAAATTTCTTCAGATACTAAAAGATACCAGACTAAAAGATATCAGGATCCTATTTAAGTCTCTTCCTTTAATAAAAATGAGGTGAGCTCATGACACAAACTACGCTGTACCAGAGTAACGAAGTGCTAGAACTGACTGTGGTTAATCTGTTGCCAGTATGAAAGACAGATAAACAACCCTAAGTGAATAAAATTCACAGTGCAGAAGAAACACTGGTTTTGTAGAGTGGAGAGTAAATAATTTATGTGAAGTTCAAAAATACAACCATGCTTATAAATTAACTCCAACAACCACAGCCAATTCAAACAACCAAAGATCTGGAATCAAATATATGTCTGTACCTACACCTATATCTATCTGTGATTTATGGGAGCAGTCACAGAATGCTTACTTGGTGTCTCTGGACAGTTGACAGAAAACAGTGATCTGCCTTCTCACTGACAGCTGAAAAAGCAGCCACTGACGGAAAAGTTACTCTCTTGTTGTGAAATACTGTAATTTCCCAGATTAGACCGATGCCACCGTATTCCTACAAATACTGGAAAACTGAAGACATACTTATTTATTTAGGGAAATTATCTTTCCTAGAATTGGTCAAAGTAGTGACTAACAGTCAGGAATTCATCTTTCTGTGAAGCACCAGCATTCAACTGAAAGGTAGGGCTGGTATTACTTAGATGGGTAAACCAGAAGGGCTGGCAATTTTGATTATAAATATGCATGACACTTTCCTGTACTTTAAAATACACTGAGTGACACAGATCTCTCAGAAGGACTGTTTTTAGCATTAGAATAGGCTCTAAAGGTCTAGTAGGGTAAAATACTGCAAACTGAGCTTTCACATTTTGCCAAGAAGGCTGGATGACATTAAAGACCAAACTCTTCACTGGGTTATTCCAATTTTATGCTGGTTTAACTCCACTGAAAGCAAAAGAGTTGTGCCATTGCCATGACTGGAGTAAAATGGATGTGAATTGGGGCATATTGCATTTGAAACGCTGTTAGGATTACACACAGTGCACAGCTTCCCACTGCACCACTGATGAAGCAACAGCCCTCAAAGTACCTCAGAGCCTCAGCAGCAGCATGAGCTGAGAACCAGCAGTCCTGACTTTCAGTCCACTGCCATCATTACCACATAACGCAAGACACAGATCTGAACGTGCAGGCAGTTATGCACGCGTTCACGTCTGGCCTCAGAAGAATCGCACCTCGTTCGCAAGATGGGCTGGGTGCATGGGAGCCCCGGGTGCCGGCAGTGGCACAGCCCTGGGGATGCACAGGGATCGGCACAGGCTCTGCAGGCTCCGCCGCCCGGCACCAGCGGCTGGAGATCATCCGGGACGGAACCTCCCTGAGCTCGGGTCTGCGCGGCTGCCTGAGCTGTGCGGCACCGCTTCAGGGGCGGTCTAGGGTCCCGGGGGGAAGCGAGGCCGGGCCGGGGGGGCTGTTCCCCGCGTGGGCCCCGCAGGCACTTACCCGCGTAGGCACGGCGACCGGCAGCGGCAGTAGCAGCAGCGGCGTGAGGAAGAGGATGGCGAAGGACCGGTACCTCAGCAGAGGCCGCA